TGGCGAGCGCGGCGCCTGGCCGGCCGGGTGTGGGGCCCACTGGCCAGAGCCGAATTCTCCGAGGAGAAAACGCGCTAATAGGGGGTCGCGGCGTGTGTGTGTGTGTGTGTGTGTGTGTGTGGTGAGAGGCACTATTTGCCTTACCTCGGCCTGCAAAGGAAACTGTCACTGTCGCCAACACTAAGCTGTACGGGTGGGAGGCACCTCCTGAAAGTCCGCAGATGGCCCAGACCGGGAGGAGCTCAGAAGGGCGTTGGGATGGCATCGAAGGGGGGTGGCGGGGCTGCAGCACAGGGGACAGCGCCGAACACACTCGCACAGGCCTGCAGGGGCAGGAAGGTGGAGGCGTGCGAGCCCCCACCATTGCCACAGCCACATAACCACACCCTGCCAATCAGCGGAGCCGATGGCAGGTCCTCATACTGATGGCGGATCCCTTTATTATTTCATACCTACCTAGTGATCGTGAAAATGTAGCAGTAAGTCGAGCGAGGGAGAATGTAAACAAAGTTAAAATTACTTGGACGAGATAACCGAAAAGGCATTTTGAAACGAAAGAAAACATTTGCTGTAACGATCAAAGCTTTCAGGGCTATCACTTCAAGACATAGCAAGTTATCATAGGAAATGGAGATTGATGCTGTTAGTCTCGTTTGGGTGTAGGAATCCCTAATTCGCTCAGTTCACCAGAATAGTTAAAAATGTGACGTTCTTTTGGCCTCCAGAACTGTGAGAAAGTAAACTACTGTTGTTTAGAAAAAATGGGATTCTTTGTTAAAGGACTTTTTTCTTTCTCCTTAAAACTAAAAAAACCCAAAACCTTGATTAAAACTCTTTTTTGGTTTCTGTTTTTGGCAAACCAAATAACTGAAAAGCCTCCAGTGAAACACGGGCTAAAAATGGCAGTCACCCTTTGAAACGCCAACAGAATTCACACAGGACACGCCACAGAAGCAAAGAGGGAGGAGGGTGTTGCGTGAGCGAGAACGGCCTCTGGAGCAGGGAGGGGTTGGTCCTGATGCCCAGGCTGGGGTTTCACACCTTCACGAGCCAGATGCCCAAAGGTGCATCCTCAGTGCACGAGGACCGGGGGAAACAGCCCCCAAAGGAGTTTCTTCAGGTCCTGGGATCCCCAGGTTGGGGAGGCCTCCAAGACCTCGTGGCTAGGGTTTAACTGGGTTTATACCCTCAGCTTAGAAGTTCTCCCTGAAACTCACCCCTTGGCAGAAGCAAACAACATTTCTAGAGAGGCCTCTCCACCCTTGGCAGGAGTAAGAGGCGGGGCGAGGTGGCCTGAGACCCTGTCTGTTCTGAGGGTACTGAGGCCTTGATAAGTGCACATGTTGACGATGATAACCACTGCGCTATGACTCGCAGACACATGGAAGAACAGAGCAGACGAGACAAGCTCCAGCTGAGACCTAGTTAAGTACACACGTTGACGATGATAACCACTGAAGAAAAGTAGCGCTGAGACTCGCAGACACATGGAAGAACAGAGCAGACGAGCACCCCACACAGCGGGGAAGGAAGCGCCAAGGGAGCACGAGTGACTAGGAACACAAGCGGAAATACGTTCAAATGTATCTGCTCTCAGGACGCAAGGAAATAGATTTTAAAATAGCAAAACAGTCAATGAGAAAAACCCAGCACAGGAACGGGACAGTTAGGTGTGGAGGGGGCTTGCACACAGCCCGCTGGGGACAAGAAAGCTGATGTCGGACAAATGGGCCTCGTGTCAAAGTCCCCATCAGAGTCGTTTGCTTAGGATGCTAAACGCATACGCCGTGGAGACACTTGGCTATGCTAAATCTTAAAATCTTGTATGATTTTTTAAAATTCTTAAGTGAAAAAACAAGCTGCAGACTGAGCGAATCTGTAACAGGGGCGCTGCTGTCTTGTTAGAGGACACGAAAGGTCACAAAGAACCACACACCACCCGGGGGCCTAACAAGTACAGAGAGCCAGGGACCAGGAAGAGACCAGGCCAGTGCCTCCGGCCAGGCCAGCGTCCCCAGGGAGCACCCTGCTGCCCGAGACCTTCCAACCACAGCCCAGGGGCCTTCCTGCTCGAAGCCCTGCCGTGCCCCCACTCAGACCTACCTATGACCTGCGGGCCCAAAGCACCTGTCCCACCTTCTCCTGTCCCCTCGCTCCAGCCCACGGCCACCTCCATCCCCTCCCGCCAACACTGTCCCTGTGCCTGCAAGTCAATGTCCGGTCACAAAGCTGCCACGTGCGCTGTCTCCCGCCCGCCCGGCCATCTGTCCGTGTCACTCGTCCTCCCCTGGCCCTGTGCATGCGTGTGCACACGGTGTCAGTTCCAACACCACACTGATGTCTGCATCTTTCCATCCCTGGTCTGTCCTGTCGCAGGGCCTGGCATGCAACAGGGACTCAACAACTACTGCTGAATGACAGGCGGAAGGAGATACAGATAAGACAACTAGCCGGCATTTCACCCTGTCCGAAGGACAGCAGCAAAGTGCCGGACAGCAGCAAAGTGCCCGACAATACCCAGGGTTAGTAGGACGCACGCCCCAGGGGTGCTAGTGTGCTGCCACCACGGTCTGAATGTTCGTATCCCCCAAACTTCAAATGCTGAAACCTGACCCCAAAGGTAATGGTGTGGGGAGGTGGGCTTACGCCATGACGATGAGTGTCCTTAAAACAGAGACCCCCTAGAGCTCCCGGGCCCTCCCACCGCAAGGACACAGCAAGGAGTCGCAGCCCGATCTTGGGGTCCAGCCTCGAGATTAGAATATGAAAAATAAGTGCTGCTGTTGGTGACCCCCATCTGTGGCGTCATCACTGCAGCCCGAGCACAGCAGGACCCCTTTGGGACCATGGCAGCACTCTTGGGGTGTCCTCAGCCCTGAGAAGCACACCAGGGGGGCTGTCCAGGCAGGAGCAGGGCAGTCTTGTGACGGCCCCACCTCAGGTCTCAGCACAGGTGAGTCTGAGGAGAGTGGGCGAGATGGGGAAGGTTGCGGGGGGAGGACACGGGAGTCTCAGGACGGCAGAGGACGCCTGGCCAGAGCTGGACCTGCTGCAGGAGGGGGAAGTCTGTGCTCCGTCCAGGGCACCTGAGACTTGCTGGCTCGGGGTGCCATTGGACCAGATGAAGGAAACCAAGCCACCATAGCGTGGGCCCCAATGACCCTTATCCCTTCCCACACACCTGTCACCAGGTCCTGGCCCAGGCAGGGCTGGCCCCATAGGGTCCCCCTCACACAGGACGGGGCGTCTGCTCCCTACAAGACAGATCGAGTCTAGGGCATCCTGCAGGCACCTGGGAGGGTTCCCTAACCCTTAGCAATGGGCGGGAGAGGGGCTGGGCGGCGAGGGAGAAGGCGCTGAGCAAGCACTGCTGGCCCACAGCAGGGGCGCTACCCAGTGTCCACCTCCCCGCCCCCCGCCTCATGGCTTTGGCTCCACCGCGTTTACCTGTTTGCATTCACTTCCATTTCTCGCTCTGCCTAGTAGCGGAGGACTGCCTCAGACCGCAAATTAGCCAAGCATCCTTTAGAGGAGATCAAGTGACTTCATTCGAAAAATCAAAGACGTTTCCATTTTTGGTGTACACATAGTAACGTGATTTATTTAACATCAGTATTGCAAATGTAATGAAGGCACAGTATCGGAAATACATCTGAAAGCTCTTTTTAAAGGAACTAAGAAAACCTCAGAAAGATTATTATAGTGCATCCACTCATAAAGTTCAACAAATCAGTCTAGATATTAAAAACTTTTCCTTCCAGTAGAAACTGCAAAAATGTCAAATATGATTTCCGTCTGTCTCTTCCCTTCCACCCCACCCCCTCGGCTTGACTTTAGTGGGTTCTGGCCACACAGGCTGAAGCTGCAGACAGCAGGGCTGTGCCCGGTGCTGGCGAGGACACTCAGAGCAGAAGCACCAGCGGCATCTGCGTCCAGTCACCGTCTTCCCACCTGTGCGGGAGGGGCGTGGATGTGAAGGGACCGAGTGCTAACTCAGGAAGTTTTGCTGCTGCTGATGCAGCAGAGGGAGGGACCTGGCCATGAGCATAATGGACGTCCCAAGAACACAGAAC